CTCACCATCATCACCAACACCACCACCACAAAAACCCACCACCACTACCACCACCACCACCACAGTCTACCACACCACCACCGCCACCCACAACCACCACCAATACTACCAACACAACCCACCGCCACCACCACAAACCACCACACCACCACCACCACCTCCGCCACCACCACCACCACCAGCACCACCTCCACAAACCACCGCCACCACCACAGCCCGCCACCACCACCACCACAAACCACCACCACACCACCACCACCACCACCACCACAACTCACCACGACCACCACAACAAAAACCCACCACCACTACCACCACCACCACAATCTACCACACCACCACCACCACCACCACCACAACCACAACCACTGCTAGCAGCACAACCCACCGCCACCACCACAAACCACCACACCACCACCACCACCACCACCACCGCCACCACCAGCACCACCAGCACCACCTCCATCAACCACCGCCACCACCACAACCCACCACCACCAACCACCACCACCACCACCAAACAACCACCACCACCACCACAACCCACCACCACCACCACAAACCACCACCACACCACCACCAAACCACCACCACCACCACCACCCATCACCACAACCACCACTACCACCACAACAAACCACCACCACACCACCACCACCACAACCACCACCAATGCCACAACCACCACCACAACCCACCAGCACCACCACCATCACCGTCGTCCTCGTCGACGCTCCCCGCCGCCGCCGCCCGCCGCCGCAGGCGCCTGCGAAGGAAATCGTCGTCCCCACCGCCGCCGCCAGCCGCCGCCGACGCAAGCGCCGGCCCGAGGAGACGGACAGCAGGGGAGGAAGAGAAAAAGGGGGGGTTCAAAACACCCCCCACCTCTCCGTCACGGGAGGGGGGTGGGTCCGGTTTCACCCCCCCCCCAAACGACCACAGAGCGCGCTCTTTCAAATCGCTATCTTAATCATCGGACCTCCAAACATGGGCGTGTCGCCTGAGACTTCCTCACAAGAATGGGATGTTAAAGAGCTGCCCTAAGAACGGCCTATACTCAACAACAAGTGTTCGCCTGAGACATCCTCAGAAAATGAGGATGCTGAAATCGATGGTCTAATCTTCGGAACTTCCAAGATAGAACTTTCGATTGAGACATCCTCGAAAACAAACAGATGCGCCAACAGCTGTAATGAGACGGCATCTTGTCGGCACGCTCTTGGATGACCTCCAAGGTCCCAAGAAGCGAATTTATTGTAAAGAACACGTGTTGTTTATAACACGAGTGTTCAAGAGGAAGAGTTTCGCTCAAGACATCCCCTTAAGAATGCCTTCGGACGGCTCATCAGAAAGCATCAGATCATAGTGGGAATGCCGACGATGACGATAATGATAATGATGGTGATAGAGATTGTGATGATGATGGTGATGGTGACGGTGATGGTGATGGTGATGGTGATGGTGCTGATGATGATGATGATGATGATGATGATGATGATGATGATGATGATGATGATAATGATGATGATGATGATGATGATGATGATACTGATAATGATGATGATCATGGTGATGGTGATTGTGATGGTGATGGTGATGGTGATGGTTGTGATAATGATGATGATGAGGATGAGGATGATGATGATGATGATGGTGATGCTGATGGTGGTGCTGATATTAATGTCGATGATGATGATGATGATGAGAATGATGAAGATGATGAGGATCATGAAGATGATGATAATGATGCTGATGATGATGATGGTCTCCGCGTCGGCAAGTTGGTCTGTCGGGTTAGGCGATGTAGGGTTAGGGTCTGTAGGGTTAGAGCCTGTAGGATTTGAGATGGTGACGGTGATGGTGACAAAGGCTGACGAGAGACGGAGGAGACTGGAGGTATACGGAATAGCGAGGAGGAAAGTCAGGAACAGTTTGTGAATGCTGGGGAGCGCGTGCCAATAGGTATCCCCTTGTGGGCATTCTGACAGCACGCCTACATTACGTTCGATCGAGATGAGGCTGCACGGCCTTGCGCAGTTCTTCGCTGCCACGCCTGTCTGAAGTGTCGCGGGTCGTGGTCTGTACCTCTTACGCCTGCTGACTGTCGGTGGCGTGCCTACGGCACAGGTGATCGTAATGCTGCTGGACTTCCTGCGCAGCTCCTCTATTCTACGCGGTCGCCGTTCAAAAACGAAGCGACAAATGAGTTGGTTCAGGGGGTCAGGACCAAGACCACGAGCAGTTTACGACTACCTACCAGACCACCCCAACCCAACCCGAAGACCCGAATCTCGGATTGGGGGGGTTCTGGCTCCATGTGTGTTGTTTCAATGTTCCTGACCCTCCCCCCCCCACTGGAAATGGAGGGCAAATCGATGCCTTCGGGTCGGGTTGGGGTGGTTTGGTGGGCGGCGAGTTTACTGCGTGCGCAACGTCAGCGCCAAGTCAAAACTTGCACGGGCAATGAAGTCCACCTGCTACCCATCTGTGTGACCGCTCGGGAAGTGCGCCTTTGTTACAGCTGAGCTCACAAGTGGTGCAAGCTCTTGCGCAACGCATCGCGTTTCCGCGCGTCCCGTTCATGTTAGGAACGGTTCTCCACGCTGGGCCGCCAAAGAAGGAGGAGATGCCACTCTTCCTCCTCCTCCGCCTCCTCCTCCTCCTGTTCCTCCTTCTCCTCCTCCTCGTACTCCTGTTCCTCCTCCTCCTCCTCCTCCTCCTCCTCCTCATCTTTCGCCTCCTCCTCCTCCTCCTCCTCCTCCTCCTCCTCCTCTTCCTAGCCTTTCTCCTACTTACCCTTCTCCGCTTCCTCGTCCTCCACCTCGTCCACCTTATCCTCCCCCTCCTCCTGTAGGCTGTCGATGGTCTCCGCTGGCCCTCCCTGAGGAGGCGCAAGAGGCGCACCTCGGGATGGGAAGCCAGATCTCCCGTTCGAGCTCGGAGACTCGATAGATCCCACGAGGCTCCATCCAAAAACATGGTGCGCATCAACGATAACACCGATACCTACGACTAAATACGGCACGAAAAAAAACACCAGCCACCACCACAACCGAGGTCGCGGCGACCACAACCACAGCAACGATACCGCCCTCCCCAGTCGACGTACCCCTGCGTCTCGCTCGCCTGCCTGCACCACGACAGCCTACACGGCCGCGCACGGGACGAGCACGACGCTGCACGGGAGCGCGAAACGGGGGGCGAAGGAGGGAAGGGACGGGGACAGGACAGCGGGGGTGCAGCTGCGGGGCTGGGCGAGTGCTGTGGGCGGCGAAGCAACGTGGGCGGCCAAGAGGCGCGGGGGGCGGGCGCAGTGGTGTGGGCGGCGGGGGAGGGGCGAGCGGGGGGGCGAGCGGAGGGGGCGAGCGGAGGGGGCGAGCGGAATGGCGAGAGAACGGCCGCCGACCCGCGCGGGCGCTGCAGCCCCGAGGCAGCCGTGCACGGCCCCCGTGGGGACTGTCGGCGGCGGTAGGCCCCCGCTTCTGCTGCCGCTCGTCCTGCAGCTGCGGCTGCTGCCCCTGATGAACTGCAGCTGTCGCGTATCCTCCTCCTCCCTCGCCCTCGCTCCTCCTCGTCCTCGTCCGCCTTCTCCTCCTCCTCCTTCTCCTCCTCCTTCGTTTCCTCCGTCTCCCCCGCCGCCTCCTCATCATCTGCATAATCATACTTCTCATCAGCATCATCATCCTCCTCCTCCTCCTCCTCCTCCTCCTCCTCCTCCTCCTCATCATCATCATCATCATCATCATCATCATCATCAGCAGCAGCAGCAGCAGCAGCACCATCATCGTCATCAGCGTCATCATCAGCAGCAGCAGCATCAGCATCAACATCAGCACCATCACCATCACCACCATCATCAGCAGCATCATCAGTATCAGCATCGTCATCAGTATAAACATCATCATCATCATCATCATCATCATCATCATCATCGTCATCAGCAGCATCAGCATCAGCATCACCAGCACCATCATCGTCATCAGCAGCAGCAGCATCAGCATCATCATCACCACCATCATCATCATCATCAGCATCATCAGCAGCATCAGCATCATCATCATCACCACCCTCATCATCGACATCATCAGCATCATCAGCATCAGCAGAATCGTCGACATCGTCAGCATGTTCATCATCATCAGCATCGTCATCATCATCAGCATCATCATCATCATCATCATCATCAGCATCATCATCATCGTGATGATCATCAGCATAATCGTCATCAGCATCAGCATCAGCATCACCAACATCATATCATCACCAACATCAGCAGCATCACCAGCAGCATCATCACCACCATCAGCATCGTCATCAGCATCAGCATCAGCATCACCAACACCACCATCATCATCAGCATCATCAGCAGCATCAGCAGCATCATCACCACCCTCATCATCATCATCATCATCATCAGCATCAGCAGCATCATCATCAGAATCGACATCCTCATCATCGACATCATCAGCATCATCAGCATCAGCAGAATCGTCGACATCGTCAGCATGTTCATCATCATCATCATCATCATCATCAGCATCATCATCATCGTGATGATCACCAGCATAATCGTCATCAGCATCAGCATCATCATCACCAACATCATATCATCACCAACATCAGCAGCATCACCAGCAGCATCATCACCACCATCAGCATCGTCATCAGCGTCGTCATCGGCATCCTCAGCATAATCGTCATCTGCAGCAGCATCAACATCAGCAGCAGCACCACCATCATCACCAGCATCATCGCCAGCATCATCAACAGCATCAGCATCAGCAACATCATCATCGTCATCAGCATCAGCATCGTCTTCAACATCATCATCAGCAGCATCATCAACATCATCAGCAGCAGCATCAGCATCAGCATCATCATAATCGTCAGCATCATCAGCATCGTCATCATCAGCATGATCACCACCATCCCTCACCATCCTCCTCGGACGCTGTCCTCATCCGTGCCATCAGCTGTACTCTCGTCCCCCACCCAGCGGCCTGGAAAGCGGCGAGCATCTTCTCGGCGATGACCAGATCTACCTCGCACGAGCGCCCGCCCAGACCAGCTACAACAACGGCCAACCTCCAGCTGCACCCATGAGGCAATCGACGCTAGCCTGCCTCGTGACAGACCCCTGCCGTGCTACACGAGTCTGGCGTCGATCAGGCCATCCCCGGGCAGCGCCCAGAAGTCCGCCGCCTGCGCCGCTCGGCATATGTTTCTGCATGCGCACTGCACGTATGAAGCGCGCTGGACCTTCCGCTGCGGGCGGACCGCACCCAAAACAAGAGGCGCAGGCTCATAGCAGTGCGCCCTGGCAGTGCTCACAGCGCTGCCCACCTCCTCCTCCTCGTACTCATCCGTCCTATCTCTTCGGGGAGGGCTCCCCATCGGCCTGCGGGCAGGGCGCCTGCGGGAATCTTCCAACTCGGTCTACGGCGCGGCAAGCCACGATGCAGGCTACCCCCGCCGCGCCGTGCAGTGGCGCACGTGCTGTTCACTGCCGCGCTTGCCCAGCAATGGTGTTCGTGCCGCGGAACCGATTACCTTCTCCAGACTCGCTGGTTTACACCGCATCGATCAAGAGCCTCAGCAGCGACATGGAAACCGACGGAGACGGATGCATTCGAGAGATGTTGCCTATTACCATCTGAGATGTGCGAAACCCGATAGAGCAGGCGCTATCACATACTCTTCCTCTGCCTCGTCTTATTCCTCCTCGTCCACACGTTCCTCCCCCTTCCCCCGTCTCCTCCTCTTCCTCCTCCTCCTCCTCCTCTTCCTCCTCCTCCTCCTCTTCCTCCTCCTCTTCCTCCTGCTCCTCCTTCTCCCCCATCCCCCTCCTCCTCCTCCTCCTCCTCATCCTCGCCCTCCTCCTCCTCCTCCTCCTCTTCCTCATCCTCCTCCTCGTCCTCATCCTCGTCCTCATCTCCTTCTCCTCCTCCTCCTCCTCCTCGCCTCCACCTCCACCTCCACCTCTTCTTCCTCCTCCTCTCATCCTCCTTTTCCCCTCCTCCTCCTCCTCCTCCTCCTCCTCCTCCTCCTCCTCCTCCTCCTCCTCCTCCTCCTCCTCCTCCTCCTCCTCCTCCTCCTCCTCCTCCTCCTCCTCCTCCTCCCTCCTCCTCTCTCCGATTCGCATCTCCCTCTTCTGCCACATCCCCCTGTTCCTCCTCCGCCCTCTCGGATCTGGCCGCCACGGGAGCGTTCCCGCGCCGTGGAAGTCATCCCCAGGCCACACGGCAATCCGCCTCGTCGTTCTTCCACTCTCCCTTCCCGTGCTCCTCGTAATCCAGCAACGCATTTGCGCCACGGAATGTATTGCACGCCCCAGATGTATTGCAACCCCACAAAACTACTGCACCAGATCGATTGCACCACCCCCCCGTCGCTGGACCCTCCCTTGGGTCCACCCGACGAGCGGGCAGCGCGGGCGCGGAGGGCGCGGCACGGAGGGCCCTCTCGGCGGCCCTGGAAGAGCCCTCGGCGGCCTCCGGCGGTCCGGACTGGGGGCTCAGGCGCCGCAGTGCGCGGTCATGTTCGCGCCCTCCCGCCCGCGCAACGCCCCCCTCGGCGGAGGGCAGCCGCTCTGGCCCAGACCGCGACGCGCGAAGCGCGATCGTCTTCGCGCCCCCGTCGGTGTCCCAGCGAGACCGATCCCCAGCCCCACTGGCATGGCCTTGGCCACGGTGGCCGACTTTCCCCCCTGCAGGGCAGCTTTTAATACGTATGATTGTTTGTTTCAAAAAAAGTGTTACCACAAAAAAACGTCGGAATTTAAATTCATGGCTAATCTATGCAGAAAGTTATAAATGAACTCCTCCTTGTTTTTAGTACTGAATCCCTGCACTTTCAATACATGATCCGCACTCGGAGCATGTCTGAAAACCGGCGCTCTACGCGCGGACACGATGTGGCCCTGCCCCAGGCGGCCCCCGCGGCGGGAGGCGGCCGAGGGGCCGGGGGGCGGCGGGGGGCGGCGGGCCCGCCTGGTGGCCGCCGAGGGCGGCGGAGGCCCCGCAGCCGAGCACGCGCACCGAGACGGTGGGCTTCCTGCGCGCGCAGGCCGACGACGACGACGACGACGACGACGACGACGACGACGACGACGCCGACGCCGACGCCGACGCCGACGCCGACGCCGACGACGACGCCGACGACGACGACGACGACGACGACGCCGACGATGACGCCGACGCCGACGCCGACGCCGACGCCGACGCCGACGCCGACGCCGACGCCGACGCCGACGCCGACGCCGACGCCGACGACGACGACGACGACGACGACGACGACGACGACGACGGCGGAGCGGCGGCGGCGACGGCGACGGCAACGGCAGCGGCGGCGGCGGCGGCGACGGCGACGGCGACGGCGGCGAAGATGGCTGCCTTCTCCTCCTCGCTCCCCGAACTCGCCCTCCCTCTTCCTCGAGCTCCTCCCGATGCTTGTCATCCACCTCCTCCTCCTCCTCCACCTCCTCCTCCTCCACCTCCTCCTCCTCCACCTCCTCCTCCTCCTCCTCTTCTCTCCCCCCATCCTCCTCCTCCTCCCTCCTCTCCTCCTCTCCTCCTCCTCCTCCTCCTCCGCCTCGACCTCCTCCTCCTCCTCCTCCTCTTCCTCCTCCTCCTCCTCGTCCTCCTCCTCCTCCATCTACTACTCGACATCACACAACCTCCTCCCTCCTCCTCCTCCTCCTCCTCCTCCTCCTCCTCCTCCTCCCTCCTCCTCCTCCTCCTCCTCTGCTCCTCCTCCTCTGCTCCTCCTCCTCCTCCTCCTCCTCCTCCTCCTCCTCCTCCTCCTCCTCCTGCTCATCCTCCTCTTCTCCCCCTCCTCCTCTTCCTCCTCCTCCTCCTCCTCCTCCTCCTCCTCCTCCTCCTCCTCCTCCTCCCCCTCCTCCTCCTGCTCCTCCTCCTCCTCCTCCATCTACTCATCCTCCTCATCCCCCTCCTCTGCTCCTACTCCTCCTCCCCCTGTTCTCCCACCTTCCCCGTGAACACTCGTCGTCCTCCTCGTCTTCGCGCTCCTTGTCCTCCTTGTCATCTCTCGCCCTGGCTACATGTCTGGTTTCGAAACTACTCTTACGCAAACTCGGAAACCACCATTCCACGAACGTATGGCTCAAAATCCGTTGGTCGCATCGCGGGACCCGCCCATTCCTTTTGCGAATCCAGGATTTACTGTCCGTCTCCTGTGACGGTCTGGCTTCCAATCCCTCGCAACATATCGCCTACTCGTGCACTTGCCTTGTACCACAGCTTCCGCGTTCCTGAACACGAAGCCCGCCTGCTGATCTTACCTGTCCGCTGCGTGCCCAACTGCGTCGAAAACATCGCAAGCTGTAACCAACGGCGGAGATAATGCTACATCATGTACGGGCACGGCCGCAATGCCCTCTTCCACGCCTCGCTTTCGCGACAACCCCGTCGCCCTCCCAAAACATGAGTGGACAGGTTGCCAGAGCGGGGTCTGGACTGTGAGCAAGAGGGACCCGCCTTACGGAATCCAGGCTGGCCCAGGAAACAACACCCAACCAACCCCTCCTGGGAGGAAGTGGTCTTAGGCGTTTTCTCTCCAAGCCCCATTCTTCCCCCTCCCCCCCTTCGGGACGGGAGATGCCCCTTCCTCCTGCCATCGGGAGAGGCCAAGAGGGGGGCGTCCAAGAGGAGGGGGTGCAAATCATGACCGGCGGCATGTGCGCGGCCCAGCGGGGGGGCCAGGAACGTTATGAAATAAGAAGAGGCGCCATAATATCTGGGGAAATATCATGGACCCCGCCATGATATCCACCCTCCCTAGTCATCACCCCCCTCTTTTCCGCCCCCGATGCCATACCGTCTCGCCCCTGGGTCTGGACCGGGCCGCCCAGCGAGGTGTCAGAGAGTCCGTTTGAGCCCAAGATGGCTCCAGCGCGGCCCCAGAGAGCCCAAGACGGCATCAACGACGATGAAACAAGGCTGCCCAAGATGCCTTCAAAGACCGCTCCAAGAGGGCTCCACGTCGCCACGGAGCCTCCAAAAGACGCCCCGAAGAGGACGACATCCGTGCAAAACCTGCGGAGACGCGGCGTTGGCCGTCTCGCCTTTTCGGTTCCGGTGGGCCTCAAGATCGTTCCCACATGGCTCGAGAGAGCGCCGAAAAGGACACACGAGGGCCCCAATACGGCTCCAAGAGCATCCCAGGAGCATCCTACGAGGGCCCAAAGGGGTCGCTTCTCGAGCTCGAGAGGGGCGGCCTGGTAAAGGCCCCCCTTCTGTGATCGATGTCCTCTCTACTTTGACAGTCGGGCCCCAGGATGGCCCCAAGACGGCCCACAGGCCTCACGCACAGGATGCACAGCAGCAAGGTGACTGAGCCTTAAAAAACTTACCCGAAATGTACCCGACCCCCTATACACGCGAGGCGCTGCATGTCAGTTTTAATTCAACCCTACATGCTGCGAGACATGCAACACTCTGAAATGCTTCGGCAAACAATGCCGGGCCACGCGCGTCGAGGTCTCAAATGATCCGCGTTGCCCTCACCCTTCAAAGAGCCAAACTTGGAGGCCTGGAAATGAGCACCAACACCAACACAGGGGGGTTGCCTCCACAGGGGGAAGAGGATCCTGGATTTCGGTGTCGGTGGTAATATTTCGGTCGCCTGGGAAACCATAATATTACCACCATCACCGAGATCGGGATCTTCATCCCTCGGTGGAGGCACACCGCCGAAATTGGTGTTGGTGTCAATCTCTAGGCCTGCGACCTCACCCTCCAAAGAGCCAAACGAAAATGGCGGCAGTTGCGCAGTCCGCAGCCTCCGAAGGCACCGAGAGGTCCCACTTCTCCGAATGGCCCTTGCCTCCGCCGCGCCTCCCGGGAGCCCACGAAAAAGGCGACAGGTACGCAATTCGCAACCATCGAGGGAACCACGAGGTCCCAAACGATCCGCATTGCATTACAGTGAAAACGTATAGTAAGGACGCGTGGTGAGGACGCAAGACCCTTGGAGGCCGAAGTTGAAGTATTCTGGGCGGCAGGCGGCCAAACCCCCAGGGAACCTGAGAAACTGGCCTGCGAAAATTGCTAGGGACGGGCCGCAGAGGCTGAGGCAGGCAAGGACCCAAAGGTACCCTTGAAAAAGTCGTTTGTTCTTACTATGCGCGTTGACTGTACTCAGCATTCAAATGCTTATGTCAACTCCGCCCTTCAGATGGACTCAAACACCCTTTTCTATGGCGCCAGCAGACCGCACAATTCATGGGCGGGCGGCGATGGTGTATGTTGAAGCGTCTCGAGTCACCCCCCATTCACCTCCCTCACTTCTCCCCTCCCTCCTGCTCCTGCTGCTTCTCGTCCAGGCCGCTCCTTCCTCACACCTCCAGTGATCCTCTCCCCCCCCCACGCGGCCGCTGGAATATAGTGAACGGAGCCCCTCGCCTACTATACGCCACTACATTCTATGCACCTGCGGGTCTGAAGGGCGCATCGGGCGCTGCGGCCATCTCAGAGCGGACTGGAACGCCCTGAGTCAATTAACGAATCTCCTGTAACGATTTATCCTCATCCCAGGCCTGCCTGACATCCTGACACGAGCAACTCATAGGAGCCTCCCATGCCATCTTGCTGGCCCTTGCGAATCGACGCTAGTCGACGTTGATCGACGCTAATCGACGCTAAATCGACGATAAGTCTGCGCTTGATCATCGATCACCAGACGCTACCGCACGCTAGTGAATTTCGAAGAACGGACTTACGAGGACATGCAAAGCTCGCTCGAGTTGCTACTAAAATCAACAGAAAATTAACCCAATCACATAAAATCCCCAGGCGCCCCCCCAGACAACCCGGACAACCCCTGTACTGGTGATACCATGACGACAAGACGACCTACCCCGGAAAGCCCCACAACCCAGCAGGAAACCGGACAACCCATCCTGGACAAGCCTCCCCGGGACTTATCTTCCATCAGGTATAGTACCTTATTACACGTCGGTCGGAAGAAGTGGGTAGAAACAAAAAGTAGGAAGGCGTTGGAAGTAGATTGGGTTCACGCCCGCCCCCTGAAGAGGAGGGGCGAGGAATAACGCTGCACTCTTGAAGTAGGAAGGCGCCTAAAGTAGATTGGGATCTGGATCTCAACAAAAACACCTACGTTCAACGACCAACGGGGTATCCTTATCCCAGGCAAGCATGACATCCTTGGGGAAACCAATACGTGCCGACGCCGCTACTCCCTGGACCTCCAGGGGTGCGCTCTGACATCGACTTCGAAGCGACTCCAGCGGTGGCGACGAAGGCTTCCCAGGAGGCCGAAAGAAGAGAGAATGGGCGAAGGGTAGAGGTTATATGCTCAGTCAGGGGACCTGCCCAGAGCCACTCGCTCCACTCGTGCGCCGAAACGGCGTCGAAGGTCCGTCGACTGGAGTCGAGCTTGCGTCGAACCGGAGTCGAACCCGCGTCGGACCTGAGTCGAACTCGAGTCGAAGTGGGGTCGGACTAGAGTCGAACAGATCCGCTAGGCGGACCGCTGGAAAGTCCCCCAAACGAGCATCTGAGAGAGGTACGGGTACCTCGTCCTCCCTCCCTCGGGGATCTTCTGACCCGGGTCAATCCAGACCCGGGTCAGCAGGAAACCAAAAATTGCCATGCAGGAAAAAAAAAACTGCAACGCAGGTCTTCGCAAACCCGGGTCAGCCAATATGCGCGGCCGCCTCGCGGCCACGAGCGGCTCGCTAACCCGGGTCAGCCAGAGGGGGTCTTCGCAGGATCCTGCAGGATCTGGTGCCCTGGCTGACCCCCGTCTGCACTGACCCCCGTCTCGAGGCTCCCGACTCCCATGAACCCCGGCGCGTCTGGCGATCCCGTCCCCCCCCCGCGCGGCGGGTCCCGGCGTGCGTGGCGCCGCGGTAGCGGACCACGCAGGCCTCGCGGGGGCACGGGGAGAGACGAGGAGCAGGCAGCCCGCGCGGTCCGGCGTCGCGGGAAGGATGCAGGGATGCAGGTTACCAGCCTCGAACGTATCCCTATCCCAAAGATTGACACGCCAAAAGGCGATGACAATCTTTAGGGATGCGCCCTCCTAAAAAAAAGGAAATCCCGAAGATTGGCATCGTGATGAGGAGATGCCCAGCATAGGGATAGGGATACGTTCCAGGCTGGTAAACAGGGGCCATATCCACCGCCCGCTGGGGCGCCAGGGCGTCGGTTCCCAGGCGGTGGATATGGATAGGCCCCCGCCTCGCACCGGGGGAGAGGCAGGAGGCCGAGAGAAGAGGCCCCGAGAGGCCCCCAAGCGGCCCCCACGAGGCGTCCAAACTGCCTCCAAGAGGCTCCCGAGAGGCCTCCCAGGAGAGCCCAACGAACATCCAACCGGCTTCATCCCCACAGCCCAGGCACGGTGGCGGGATGGGCCGAATGCCACTAGCTAAAGACTCGCGGTGAGGATGCAAGGGCCATGGAAAGCCATGCTGACCTTCTTCTGGTGCGGAAGCTGCCAGGGATGGGCCGAAGGCGCAAGGATGACATGATGTTAGGGTAGCCTTAGCAAGTCGCTCATCCTTACTCTGCGGGTTGACTGTGTTGGGGAGGCCTCCCAGCTTGGGATCGGAGCAGATGGAGTCGAGGGATCGCCCCGCAGCGCCGACGCATCAGCGACGGCGACCTGGAGAAGAACAGGCTCCAAAGTGAACGTTTTATTCTTCGGCGTTTCGACATTGGGCAGAGGGGGGGCTCTGGCTCCAGACCTCTGCTTGATGAGACTGTTTGCAACAGTGCGTCCCATGGGGGAAACTCCACCTGCTTGCAGCAGGCGCCACAAGCAGAAAAGATCTACTCCATGAGGGGGGGTGAAGGCGGGTTGCGAATGCCCGCGCCGATCGTCAAAATAATGAATAAGAAAACGGTCACGAGTCAAGCCACATCGCCGATGTTTCGGCGACGCGGCGCAATCCCCCGACCCCATCTGCACCGGCTCCACGTGGGAGGTCTGGAGATGCACAACAAGCTTGTGCTGTGAGGGTTCGGGTGTTTGTTGCTGACACCGCGCGGCTCGTTCAACGTGGGCCCATCGCGGTCTTTCGATGGGGAGAATGCTCGGTGGCTGGGGAGACCTAGTGATCGTTTTGTTTATTCGACGTTTCGACATTGGGCGGAAGGGGGGGGAGGGGGGGGTATGGCTCCGGACCTGTGCTTAGTGCGACTGTTTGCAGCTGTGCGTTCGTTCATGATGGGGGAGGGACTCCACGCGCTCGAAACAGGCGCCAAAAACAGCCAAGATCTACTCCAAAGGGGGGGGGGAGGGGGGGGGGAGGGGTGCCCGCGCCGAGCGGCAAAAAAAACGACCACTTAAAGATACCGATGCCGCTACTCCCCGAATCTCTCCTGTGGTGCGCTCTGGCCAGGCTGTCGAGGCGAGTCCAGCGGTGGCGGCGAGGGCCCCCCAAAAAGCCCCAAGAGGGGGAGAACGGGCGGAGGGTAGCAGAATGGGTACCTTCTCCTCCTGCTGAGTGGCTGTCGACTCTGGGCCATCAGCGATGTTCAACTTTGAATTCGGAGGAGGGAAAGGTACCCCTACCCCTGCCCTTCGCCCGTTTTCCCTGTTCTGGTGCCTCCTGGGGCGGCCTTCGTCGCCGCCGCTGGATACGCCGCGCAGTCCTGGTCAGAACGCACGCCAGCAGCGGTCCGGGGAGTAGCGGTATCGGTTGGCACCAACACCAGAGCAGAGGATTGTCTCCACAGGGGGAAGATGGCCCTAGATTTCGGTGTTGGCAGTAGTATTTCGGCCACCTCGGAGGCCTGAATATTACCACCATCGCCGAGATCGGGATCTTTTTCGCTCGGCGGGGGCAGCCGACGGTGGTGTCGGTGTCAGCCTCTAGGCCTGCGAGTCGGCACCTCTTGGTGTCCCCGTGAGCGCCCCCCCTAGGCAAGGGTCTCCGCCGCGTCGGCGCTGCACGTGTCTGTCGCAGGCGTACACCGCAGCCGTCGGCAGAGCAGCGCCGGGGGGGGCCTCGACGTGTCTCGCGCCCATGTTGTAGAAGAGCGTGGTGGACTCGTCGACCTCCGTACCCCGCTCCGCGCTGGGGGCCGCCCACCATTCTCTGCCCCTTTCTGTGGCACGTCCTGATGCTGAGGAGGCCCAGGCGAGCGCGCGTCGAAGGGATCCCCCCCCAAAGAGAAGAGCCGGGGGCGGCACGGCGCTCGCGCGGCCGCAGCCCCGCCGCGGGACAGCCCTCCCGAAGCGAGAGAGGACCCCGACGACAGCAGCCTCGCGGAGAAGGGCAGCGGCGCAGCGGCGGCGCAGCGGCGGCGCAGCGTCGATGCGCTCCTGCCCTCCGGCCAAGCGCAGCTTCCCCGCTGAGGGCGAAGGGGGGTCACCACGGAAAGCACCAGCCACGGAGGAAGAGTTGAGGAGACAGAAGAAACAACAAAAAAAAAAAAAAAAAAAAAAAAAAAAAAAAAAAAAAAAAAAACGCGTTATGTGGACAACCCGGATGGCTCTGCCACCAATTTTTTACAACCCACACACACACCGGACGCAACGGAGGCGGAAGAGGAAGGACAGCAATGAGGAGAAGGGGAGCCACACATCAATCCACGCAGGTGGCCGAAGCTCCTGTACGTGCACCTCGTTATGTTTCAGCGCGAAAGGTCTCGAGCAAAAGACGGAAGGAGAGACGGCGGCATCTCGATCTCGGTGGCAGCGGGACTGAACACACCGCAGGGCGTGGAAAGTTCTGGCCGGAGGCAAAGCCTGATTCTGACTCCTGCTCGGCCGTGCGGAAGCGGACAGGACCGCGCCCACGTTGGAGAGAGCTGGGATAGGGCAGGGGCCCTAGATACAGGGCAGTTTTTGATACTCCCGTGTGTTTGAAAAATATCGGATGTTTAATACATGATGAAATTATGAACAAATGATTGCATGAACTCAGCGTTGTTTTTAGTACTAAATCCCTGCATGTTTAATACATGATCCGCACGCGGAGCATGTATTAAGAACGGCACTGCACCAAGGCTGGGCTGCAGGATGATCGAAACGGTCGGCACAGCACGGCACGGAATCCCTTTTTCGCACGGCGCGAAAACCGTGCCGCCGTTCTCGGAACCATACAAAAAAGCACTGCACGGCAACCCTTTCGCGCGTGTGAAGACCGGGCAAGGTACGGCACGGCAAAGATTTGTCGCACTCTCGACGAAGCATCGAGAGGGGGCCCAGAGGGGAGGAACGCAAAAACTTCGAGCGTTCGGCCCCAGGACGTCCCCCAGAGAGCCCCCAGAGGCCGTCGAGAGGCCACCAGAAGGCCTCGAGAGGCGCCCAAAGACCCCCAGGAGGCCACACGGAGGCCCCGAAGAGGCCCAACAACTCCCTCCAAGACGCCCCCCGAGAGGCCTGCAAGATGCCTCCACGACGCACCCGAAGAGACCTAACAACTGCCCCAGGATGCCTTCAAAACGCTTAGTTCTGAACACGCGTTGCACAATGATTAATTTGCCCATGATTCTACAGCGTCAGCCGTCTTAGGGCTCCACCAAGAACACCCCCACAAACAACTGTTTCCGAGATGCCTCCGAAACGCTGAGTTCTGAACATACGTGTATACAACAAGTGCTTGTCCATGAGTATACATGCTCAGCCGTCCTGCGGGTCCTCCAGGAGCGCCCCCACAGGAAACTGCCTGCAAGATGCATCCACAAGCGCGGTGGCGGATATGCGCGGCAGCGCCAGTATAGTTTTCACAAATTCGCCTCGTGGGTTCTCCGACGCTCCAAGGCGGCCCAAGAGGCCCCGAAGACCGCCCCAAGACGGCCCAAGAGGCCCCCAAGACGGCCCCACGACGGCCCAAGGATGGCCCCAAGACGGCCCAAGAGGTCCCCAAGACGGCCCAAGAAGGCCCCAAGACGGCACCAAGAAAGGGCCCAAGAGGGCAACCAAAAATTCAAAAATCTAGCTTTCCGCCCCCACGAGCCCCAGGGGGCCCCAAGAGTGCCCCAAGAGGCCGCCAGAGGCCCCCAAGAGGCCGCCAAGACGCCCCAAGGAGCCCCCAAGAGGCCCCCAGGAGGCCTCCAAAAGACCCCCAGACGCTTCCGCATTGCGAGCCGTCAAGCCGACTGCAATGCACTCCGCGCATGCAGCCTTACTCTTCCTCGCGACGTGCTCACAGTCCTGCTCGGCGCTAATGTGCTGCTGCCGCGCGAACTGTTTCGTGCGCGCTGCGAACGTCAACAGCCTCTTCACCCGTTTCGACTCATCTGCCACATTTTTCGCGGTGGTGCTTCGCTGATCAAAGCTTCCGCACGCTACTCTTGCTCCTTTCGTCTTCCGGAGGTCCTCCACGTGGTTGCGGGTCGAAAGGCCGACCTCCCAGAAGGACACCCCGCACCCGGGTGCACAGCACGCAAGGCGTTCGCAAAACACGCCCCAGACCACCGGCATCACGCAAACATTTGGACCCCCTACGTATCTGCCACCACCCGCGCGCGACACCGCACCCTCACACAAGACGCCGCTGGCCAGAAACTCCTGGCCTCGCAACAGTCACAGAAGGGGTCGGCGGATGTGGCGTAAGCCTGTAGAATCACATTCAAAACAAGGAGTTCCTCTGGCTTTTGAAGATTTGCATTTATATGTTTGGTGCTAGCGAACCTCTCACATGTGATGTGGATTCAGTTGAGCCGCATCGGACTTTGGGAATCGAGTCGGATCGGATCGATCGGATCGAAATTGCTCTGGGAAGACGGTCAACACGAGCACTTCTCTCCCCTGTCTCCCGCAAGCATACACACTCAGGTCACTCGTTGACCGGGGGGCTCGCCGTACGCCGCCCCTGCACTGATCGAGAACGCACCCCGCCATGGTGTGCAGCAGAGAACCATTTGCGACCCCCATCGTTGCCACATGCACCTGCGACGATGGGACTGGAGATCCCATCGTCGACGACGCTCGCTCGATGCTGCAGCGTAGGCAAGTTGGTCCAACGGATCCCTAGAGCCCCAGAAGGCGACACGCGCAGCCTTCTTCCTTGTCACGTGAGACTGAGAGGACCGTTCGCAACCCCTCGTTCCCCCAGGCATCTGTTACCAGCCTGGAACATATCCCTATTCCTATGTTGGGCATCGCCTCATCACGATGGCGATCTTCGGGATCTCCTTTTTTTTTGAGGGCGCATCCCTAAAGATTGTCATCTCCTTTTAGCGCGTCAATCTTTGGGATAGGGATAAGCTCGAGGCTGGTGAATCTGCCCCCTCCTACTCTCCCTGCGCCCCTGACCCAGCGAGGTGTATGAGCCCTCCCCGTGTCTGCGCACTTCGGCTTCGGCCTCGGCCGTGGCACACTCCGAAGCGCCTTCGGGGCCAACTGGAGGCCTCCCAGCTGGGGTCCTTGTGGATGGGGTCGAAGCATGGCGCCGAATCGCCCATGCACGTCGATGTAACGGCGACGTAGCGGCGATGCCTCGGCGACGTCGGCGATGCGACTTCGGCGTGGGGAAGCACGGTCGCCACACCGAGTCGCACCGTCGATGCATCGGCGACACGGCGCGATCCTCCGACCCCGTCTGCTCCGACCCCGTCTGGGAGGCCTAGTCCAGCTCACCCGACGTACATGTTCCGTCGTTCCTCGGGGAAGCGGCTAAACAAAGTAAACACCACACCACCCCTAGATGCCTCCTAATTAGATGGGGTCGGAGTAGATGGGGTCGGAGGACCGCGCCGCATCGCCGATACATCGGCGATGCATCAGCGATGCATCGGTGATGTACCGGCGATGCATCGTCGGCCTCGGCGATGCATCGACGACGTCGACGTGAAGCATATCGGGCCCCACATGGGGAGCCGCATCGGCGATGCATCGGCGACGCGGCGCGATCCTCCGACCCCATCTAATTACTTCGACCCCATCTAGGAGGCCTAGAACCCCGACGTCGTCCCCGACCCTCGGGTCGGGCGAAAGGGGGGGATAGCAAAGGGGGGGTTTGAGAATCAGCTCACATAGCTGATTTTCCCAGCGCCTCCCGGCGCCAGAGGCGGCTATGTATCGAGGAATGGGCCCCTCGGCGAGGCCGAAACCAGCTGCATGCAGCAAATTTCGTAACCCCCCCTTTCCCAATCCCCCCCTTTCGCCCGATCCGAGACCCTCAAGAAGTCCCGGGATTGAAAAACAGCCCGCCACTGGTGCTGTACATGCTCCAGTTTACAAGGCTGGTCTCCGCTCGCGCGGGTGCCTCCTCCCTCCCTCGCTGCTCCCGCTGGCTCCGGCGGTGCGCGGGAGGTGGCAGGACCGAGGCCTCGAAGGGCCTCTGGAGAGGCAGGCGGCTTCCACGGAGGGCTCGGGCCCATGCTCAAGAAATCTGTGTTGCATCCTCGGGGCACCGTGCCCGTCTCGTAGAAATCTGTGTTGCATCCTCGGGGCACCGTGCCCGTCTCGTCGCGGCCCTGTCCGCGTCGAATCCGTGCCGGAGACATGTACGACCCGGCTGCTCGGAGTCGAATCCGACTCGAATCCGTGTCGAATCCGCGTCGAGTCCGCGCCAAATCCGCGCCGAGTCCGCATCGAGCCCGCGTCGGGTACGAGAGAAGACACCAGCTCTGGGGCCAGGCGAGGTCCCCCCCAAGAAGCAACGCAAGGAGCTCTTCTCGAGGCAGGAGGGCCCCTGCGAGGCGGAGCGCGCTCCAAGGGGGCCGACCCCCCCCTGTCGGGGGTTGCCAGAGGTGTTCCGGGTCCACAGATCTTCGCCGCGTTCTCAACTCGCCGAGGCCTTCGGGGTTTCTCGGGGTCGGCCAAGAAGGGGGCGTCCAGTCCAAGAGGAGGGGGGGGGGGGCGCAAATCATGGCCAGCGGCATGTGCGCGCCCCAGGGGAGGGGCCAGGAACGTAATGAAATGAGAAGAGGCGTCATGAAATCTGAGGAAATAGCATGGCCCACGCCATGGTATCCACCCCCCCTCATTCGTCACCCGCCTCTTGGCCGCCCCCGAGCTTCGTCCAGGGTGCTCTGGAGGCCGCCCGGGCCTGCCTGGACATCCTGACTACCTACCAGACCACCCCAACCCAACCCGAAGACCCA